CGCCCCGCCTCATTATCACATGTTATCTAATTTACATTATCATTTATCATAAGCTTTTTATAGGGAAACATTATTTTTGAAGGAAGAACATTAATAAAATCAATAAATGTCTCAAAACTGTCTGTGAATTTCATAATCCCTTGAAAGTCCCATTTTGGTCAGGGAAAATTGAATATCAGAGAAGTCAGGGAGAAAATAAAAATCTATGAAGATTTTTATATTTTCTGTGTCTATGTCTTCCAGCACATCTATGTAGTCTTTTTTTTTTAGTTCCTAGTCATTTATAGTTATAGAATTTGATTTACCTATTCTCAATGCCTCAACCCATCTGTAAGATTTATCTTTGTTAAATTTTGAAATTTGAATGTTTGTTATATTGTAAATCATAATAAAATCAGTTCGATGAAAAAACTGTACATGATTGGATGGCTGCCGAGGACATGGAGGCAGAAAAATTAGGTAGTATTGGTCAGTGCAAAGTGGGTGAAAAGTCAGGGAATTTTATTTTCTCAACTAAATGGCAGTCATGAAATAACTTTACACTGGCTGCATTTGGTGAGCTATAGTTGAGTGGAAATACAACTTAAAGGACCCCCCCCCCTCCCCCGTCTCTTAGGAATAACCACTTTTCATACCTTAGGTATAATCACTTTCCGTCTCTGGTGCAATGCTCAGCAAGAGCTCTTCATTTCTGTATTTTGGTATGGTCCCTTTGCAGGCAGAACATTTTATTTTGGATCTGTACCTTTTAGACACAATTTGTACTACAGAATGATTCCTTACCTTTCCTCAACCTAATTGCCAGCAGCTTATATCTCAAATTGCTTGGTAGCCACTGCAAAGAGTATATTGCTCACCAAGAACTCGGCTGGAAAAACACTTTTGGTATGGCCCCCTTCCAGCCAGAACACATTAGCGTGTTAGAACTATCAGCTTACTCAGTGGCTTACACCAGCCTATTTCGCACACTTCCAGCTTCCAGCCAAGTTTGCAGTATTTGGGCCAGCGTCTGGAAACCCCTGCTGTCATTTAAGAAGAGAGAGCAACGTAGACCAAGTCACAGGTAAGCTGTTATCTCACATTATACACTATAAGCTGAGGTTTTGAGATTCTGAAACTGGGCATGCTAGGACTGGAATCCTGAATATTGTGTGGGATGGAATGGCCTGACTCTATGCTCTGTCTGCCATTTACTATCTAGGCTTCGCTCCAAGGAGAGGAGTCGGCTTTGGCAGTCCTTCAATTGGGACGGCAGAGGTCTTGGCGTTGGTGCCCCGAACCTCTTAGCTTTTCATCTGTTTGCTTTTCTTTTGGATTGATAGTGTTACTTTTAAGGTGTTGTTGTATTGTAGCTAATGACTCAGTTCTTTACATGTCAGAATTGACTTAGAAGTTGTAGAACTTTTGGAAAAGTTGTAGACTTCATGGAGAAGAGCAGTAGCAGATGGTTGGGTAATTGAGAGGTAGGAAACTGGCAGTATTTCTGTGATTAGGTATCATATATGTCTTGATATATAGAACTTGAAATATTGCTATGCAGATGGGCCTTTTCTCTCTCTCTCTCTCTCTCTCTCTCTCTCTCTCTCTCTCTGCCCCCTTTCCTTGATGCTTAAACAAATTTAAAATCAAAAGTTTTTAGTTTTATTGTCTCCTCCCTTTCAAAAAATAATAAGAAGAAGAATAAAATACAGAAAAAAATATATAAAAAGACAAGAATAGAAAGAAAGGTAATGGAAGAAAGAAAAAAACTGCTGTTACCAGAACAATAGATCTTTAATTTTGACCAACTTTCAGCAATAAACAGAGCTCTTTTCTTTATATTTCCATAAGTCATTCCTGGTGTGTACAGGGTACTAAAGGGGAAATGACAACCATATGTGTCACACTGTTTATTTCCATGGTACTGATGTCAGGAAGATATAGTTTCAGTTCCAGCTGATGGAGTTTCTCCACCACACCCACTCTCACATGTACAAGACATGTTTTAACTCATCTGGTTCTAATTTTTGGTAAACACTGTACAATTTTTTTTGTCTTTTCTAGGTGTGTGTGTGTGTGTGTGTGTGTGTGTGTGTGTGTGTGTGTGTTTTATTATACAGATAAGCATTTGCAACATTTTCAATGATTAAATGCAGGTTTTGTATGTTAAAACACACTGAAGCAAAAGGAAAAGCAGATGATATATGTACTAAGAAATTTGGTCAGTCTTATGCCCTTCTGTGGGTTTTCACTCTGTCGAGCCATGTTTGTTTAGTTAGCAGGTATATTGCCCAAGGGGGAGGAGGAGATATCTGGTTTGTTTAGTGATGTATCAACACTTTACTCATTTACAAATCAGTTTGTATAAACATGACATCATGGCAAAAATAGTACCTGTGTTTGTCTGACTGTCCTTCTTTCTGTCTGTCTGTCTGTCTGTCTGTCTGTCTAAGTATATATTGCCTCACTGTTGGGGTATATGTTTATCTATGTGTTTGTTCCTCTTTCTTTCCGTTTGTATGTCTGCTTGATTTTTATCAGTGAATTTGTATATGTACTTTCCTCCACGTTTGTCTGCCTATCTGCTATTCTGTGTTTGTGGCTATCTATCCGTCTGTCTATTTAAATAAGTCTGTCTTGGTCTGTCTGTCTGTCTGCCTGTCTGTCTACTTGTCTTTTTCCTTAAAATCTTGCCTTAGCATTTGTCTTCATACCACATCAGCAAGCCAGAGAGAGAGAGAGAGAGGGATAAGCTGCCGTCTATCACACATTCATTAGAGTTAACCTGGCCTCATAGAACACTGGCACCACACAGCCCTGTTGTGTAAACAGGCATAACGTACCTTTATGATTCTATAATGTTTGTTCTCCCACACACACACACACACATGTGACCCACAACCACCAGCATTAGCTAGATTTCCCCCTTTCTCAGTGGGAAAAGATACACACAGTGAGTCATGGGCTAAAATTGCAGCTGGCAATGCCCCCACTGTGTCGGAGTGGTCTGGAGTGTGTTGATATCATCGTTGAATGTGATATCTTTATTTCAGAATTGTTGATAAGGTAATAGTCCAATAAATGCTGCTCTGGTAATTTTTTTATCCCCCCGCTTTTGGGACAGAAGTCGGGGATCATGTTTTCCTGCCCGTCCATGAGTGTGTGAATCCGTGCATCTGTGTATTAGTAATTTTTGCTATCTCCTCCAGGACCATCAGAATTAGGAAGTTGAAACATTGGGGATTGATAGACCTGTCATCAGGGATGTGCATGGGCACTTTGGAATTGGGCTGTCCCTGGAGGTGGTTGATTCTAAATTCTCAACATCTTTACAATGTGGGGAAGTGCAGAATATATACAGTGGCTAGGCACTGACACCATCTATTTTCTATTTCCATTTGTATCATGTTATATGATATGCCATGAGCCCTCGGTGCTCTGTTTGATAAGTCATTCCTAGTTTTGCTCAGAATGGCATTTTTTACTGTGAGGGACCTGCATGCCTATCACAGCATATTTCATTGTGTGCCATGTCAGAACATTAATAAATATTGTTCAAACAAGTCCCATATCTCTGTTTGAAATGACACAGTTCTGGGCATTTAGAAGTTGCTTCCTTTTGATGGATTTTTCTATGAAAAAGAGACTGCCTTTATTTTGGCTGCTTCTTGGCTTTGGAGGATTTTAGACTATAATAACTTAAGTAGTTGTGATTACCAAGCCTGTTCACATTTTGGCAGTAGTGTAGAAACATGAAAATTAAGACTTTATTGATAGATGTCAGAAATATTTTAAATTCCACTGTAACACATATCCACAGTCTCCATGCATTGCTGTGCCGATTTATGAAGTGAGATAAAAGACATGTTTCACTTCAGTTTCCGTATATCAGAAAATTGAATTCTAGAACTCTGTATGACATAACTGGAAACAGATGGGGAAGTGTATAAATCACAGCTTTTAGAAAATAGGTATTGTTTGGCAGGCAGCAGAGAATAGGGTAGGGTTGTTGTAAGTATGGCATGATGAGGCTGCTGTTTTAAAATGTTGTAATAGTGTGTTAGTTGAGATTGGTATCTTCTGTGAGTGACATTGTGCTGGTTGAGATTGGTAACTGTGACATTATGATAGTTTAGACAAGTTATTATGACTTTGTCAGGTGAGGTTGGTGATTTTGGCCTTTATATTTGTTGAGGTGGATTGTGAAATTGTTGCCATCTTATTTGTGAAAGTTGAGATGGGTTATCAAAAAAGACATTATGTTAATTAAGATCTTTAATTAGGAAATTGTGTTAGTTGAGTAGGGTTGTCCAAATGGACATTGTGTTGGTTTAGAGCAGTAATTGTGCAAGTTGAGGTCAGTGCATTTAATTGTGGCATTCTGTTATTTGAGAGAAATTATTACGATAATTTGTTAGCCCAAGTAAGTAATTTCAACATTTTGCTAGTTGATTTTAAGTCCTCGTAACTGCATTTTTGAATTCAGGAGATTGCTCACAGTGTGTTGTATGAAACCAGTTGAAATGACTATGATGATTTACATATTATTGGTGTTAAATTGATCTAACTTCTCTTAGTGCAATAACAAACGTCCTTGTAAATCACAAATGCAGTTGATGATTGCTTCACATTCTGCAGAAAGCAATAGGGATTATACTTGGTAGTTATCAGTAAGTTAATTCACCATTCAGTGGCTAATATTTGTCACATTTGGACTTAAAACCTGACATTTTCTCTACTCATATTATTAGCGCCATACCACAGCTGCCAAGGGAAGAGAAGTGTCAAGTAGTTAGGACCAACTCTTGTTCCCGGAAACCTTAGAGCAGAAGCTGTTTCGTTACCAGGAAAATAGCTTTTATCAGATTCTCTTAACACTAAAGTATACTTCACACACTTTGAAGTGTAAATCTGATTGTATCAGTGACATCTGTTGAGAGGGATATAAACATATATATTTTCAAAAAGAAAGATGAAAAATAGAAAAAGTGGATGTTTCATTTGAACTCCAAGTGCCCTGATCCTAGAGTGTTTTTAGCTTTCATATTAATAGTCTCACTGTGAAATAATTGTTCATGTTTTATTGCTCTACGATTTTAATAATTACTTTCTCATAGTCGAGTTTTATGTCATGCTGTTTCAGAGATTTGCGTGATGTTTCATTCATACGTTGATTAGTTTTTCTGTGAAAATGATATTAAACAGGATGCTATCATTATAATGAAACATCAATTTCTTGGAAAAGTTTCATTTTAGTCAAAAATGTTATATAGAATCAGCATGATGTTGGGTTTAACTTTCAGTTTAAAATTCAGTGGAAATCAGGAAAAAAAATACTCCCCATACAGCAACATCTAGAGTGTTTTGTCTGTTATGCAGATTGTTTGCAATGCAGGAGACCAACTCTCTCATCCATTAACCTGTGTTTCTGAATTTACAATACTGTGTTGTTGCTCTGGATGTTTTGAAATCACAGGCACATCCAAGGAAAGAAAACAAACACAAAGAAGGCAAGAGTAATGGATACAAATAGTGTCGCTTTCCCTTTCTAAGTGCTTAAAGTTTTATGTCTTTTTTGAAGACACAGTATAGATCGATACAAACTTAGCATATTTTATTCATAAGCATTTCTCTTTTTTTTTGTTTTGTGTATTTATAGATTATATTAGTGATAATGGATTTGTCATGTGCAGGATATCCTTATTCATTGATGGTAGTTGTCAATTATACAACTTGAATGAATAATTGTAGTTATTCATTGTGAAACTTTATTGGTTTACAAATACTCCCACCCACCCACCTTAACAACCCACCCCCTCTACCGGCAAATATGACAGTTCAACCAAGAGCTTTTTCTTTATGGTTGCCTTTATTGTTGACCTAACTTCCATTTTTATTGACCCCATACATTCAGGAAATGAATAAACTGTCGTAGGATGCAATCTCTCTCTAGAGGTTTACCACAGAAGAAAGTGAGAAAAAGAGACTGAAGACAAATGTCGAGAACTGAACATTATTGCTAAAATGAACACTTCTTTTAAAACAACTTGTTAAAACAACTTGAACAGATCTTTTAAACTATTT